TGTGTGTGTGTGTGTGTGTGTGTGTGTCATTTTTCTTTTTGCTTAATATTGTTCCTATCTTTGAAAATGACACGCTGTTCATGTCTTTTCTTTCGTATTCGTATCTTTTAACATCTTCGTTTCGTAAGCTGTTGCAATGTCAGCGCGATGTTATCTCGAAGAAAAGATATGCTATTTTATATGCTGGAATTCGTTTCATTTTAGAAGGAGAAGAAAAGATTTATCTATATATGTAATTTTGAAAAGCAAGGAGAAGGGCGTGAACAAGGAATGTAACAAAGTAGCTTCGGCGAGACAGATTTTCAAATTTTCGCGCTCACTGCTTGAACCGGAAGTTTCTTTAACAATAAACAGAAACAAGTAATTGTTAATTATTATTGTGATCAATCTTTCTCATTTTCTATTCTTAAGTTTTACCTTCTCCTTTCTTCCATCGAGTTTTGTTACTCTATGCGAATAGGTGATGATCTATGATACCATTTAACTTGGAAAGTAGACAATTTTACTTCTTTGCAAAGATAACATTGGCGCGAGATATTGTTTCGTCTGGCACACGGAATGATGATGATATTCAGTGGGTCTCGTGAGTCTGATTTGAACAGAGAACCGGATCCGATAATACGATGTGGTCACGCGAGTACTATGAGTGATGAGACTGCTAGGTATATATACCATCCATTGATTTTGGACTTAATTTGACTGGTATTGTTCTTTTTAAAGCTATTTAGTACGCACGAACGAAAACACACGAATGAGCTACCCGTTTTGAAACGATTCGAAGAACTGTACTTTCGTATTTATAGTTTTCACAGTTTTTTTTTCATGGATCTCTTAAGATCATTATACATTATGAAATCTATACTATACTATATAGTAGATATAGTATATATATACTATAGTATATATATAGTATATAGTATATATAGTAATATATATAGTATGTAGTATATATAGTAGTACATATAGCATATAGTTATTATATACTAACTATATACTAACTTATATATACTATATAGATA